ACTCTTTATTTTTTATTTTATGTGTATTAGTGTATTATTGCCTGCATGTATGTAAGTGCATCTGTGTTGTATGATGCCCATGGAGGTCAGAAGAGGGCATCAGATTCCCTGGAACTGGAGTTACAGATGGTTGTTAGCTGACATGTGGGTGCTGTGAACTGAACCCAGGTCCTCTGCAAGAGCAGCCAGTCATCTCTCCAGCCTTTCAAACTCTCTTAAAACACATGACAGCATGTCATTGGGGTGGGGGTGGGGCAGAAATTTGCAGTCCTTTCCTATTGGATTTCATTTTCCGTTGTGTAATAGGATCTGTCCTACCGGTTCAAACTTAATTCTCTACTCTTCCCTGTACATAGCTTCCTTAGACCAAGTTAGTCTCCTCATACTAGGCCGCCCAAACTACTTATGTTGTTGCCCTTGCCTGGAATATTGATTCTTTCTCTTCTCTCTTTTCCTATTTAAACTCCAGCCATCCTCTAAGACGTATGTCGAGTGGTTTTTAAAAAGCCTAGCCCAACTGGACCATTCTTCCTTAATTATCCTTATGAGTCATACTCAGTGGGATTACCCTGGATTCATTTGCAGAGGTTCTAATAACATTTTAGTGATTGATCCCTTTAGAGTGTAATGATTCTTCTTTGATGTTCTTTTGGAGAAGTCAAACTGTATTAAATGTGTCCCTTTCTCTCTTGCTGCCAGCTGAAGTTCCTGTCTTTGCCAGACACCTGGATGAAAGAGTTTTTTCTGGCTCACATATACACGGAATTGCAGCTGATAGAAGAGGCCCTGCAGAAGTATCAGAATCTCATTGATGTGGGTTTTTCTAAGAGCTCATATATTGTGTCACAAATTGCAGTTGCCTATCATAATATCCGAGGTGAGTGGATAAGGACAATGGAATACTTAGACCCTGAGAGGTGCACTAGGTTGTGTTTTAAACTCTGTCGTCTTCTGTAGATATCGACAAAGCTCTTTCTATTTTTAATGAGCTGAGGAAACAAGATCCTTACAGGATTGAAAATATGGATACATTCTCTAACCTTCTTTATGTCAGGGTAAGTTGCTTTTCTTGATTGACCTTGATCATGATCGTTTGTCCCTTAATCTCCTGGATTAGATTATCATCTGTTTGCATTAGCTACAAGACAGGTAATTTTAGTAAGTCCTTTTTTATGCTTAGATTTCTTTCTCTTTTCTCCCAGAGCATGAAATCTGAATTAAGTTACCTGGCCCATAACCTCTGTGAAATTGATAAATATCGTGTAGAAACATGCTGTGTAATTGGTGAGTTTAATACTTTTTTTCCCTTTTTAAAAAATATTTATTTTGGGGGCTGGAGAGATGACTCAGTGGTTAAGAGCACTGTCTGCTCTTGCAGAGGACCCGGGTTCGATTCCCAGCACCCACATGGCAGCTACAAACTGTCCTTAACTCTAGTGCCAGGGGAATCAGAAGCTCTCTTCTGACCTCCGCTGCATTGCACGACATGGGTATACTCACATACATGCAGGCAATACACTCATCCACATAAAATAAAAATAATAAATAAAATATTTAAAAAAATAAGTTTTTATTTTATGTGTATGAGTATATTGCCTACATGTATGTGAGTGTACCTGTGTTGCACAATGCCCGCAGAGGTTAGAAGAGAGGATCAAATTCCCTTGGAATTGGAGTTACAGATGGTTGTTAGCCACCATATGGGTGCTGGGGAGCAACCAGTGCTCTTAACTGCTGAAACCATCTCTTCAGCCCCTTTATTATTTCTCTATTATTTTTTATGGCTATCTAGCATTGTGATGGTTACACGAAATGAAGACTCATCATTTATCCTTAGTTTTGGTTTTTTTTTTTGAGACAGGGTCTTATGTAGCCCAGGTGGCCTCAAACTACCTATGTGGTTGTTTTAGAAAACATCCTTTTGCATATATATTTTTTTAATTTATTATTTTATATTTTATGTGTATGAGTGCATTGCCTACATGTATATAAGTGCACTCCTGTCATACAGTGCCCAAGGAGGTTAGAAAAGGGTGTCGGATCCCCCTGAAATTGGAGTTATGGATGGTTGTTAGCTGCCTTGTGGGTGCTGGGAACTGAACCTGGGTCCTCTACAAGAGCAAGTGCTCTTGTTGTGGGGTGCTTCACCAGAGAAGACCACTCTGTTTTGCCAAATGAAAGTGGTTACTGGCCAGGGCTACTACACAACGGTATCAGGAACCCAAGTGTGTAGCACCGAACCATCTCTAGGGTAAGCTTTTATATAGAAAAACCATAATCAGGGGTGAAAATTTTAAGTTCCGAAGCTTACAGGTGAAAAGACCCCTCAACAATTTCTATTCTATTAAATAACAATTACTATTTTGCAAGCCAAGCATAACCTATAGAAGCCATAAATCTGTAGTTAGCAGGTGCACTTTGCGACACTCTGATCTGTTCCCAAGACAACTGGGGTCCAGCTGACATGTGTTCCCATACCCTGGGCCTACTGCCTGATAATTTAAGAAACTATCAGAGTCAGCCTAAACTTTAACATGGCATAGCTACGGTCAAGAAGGTGCCCTATTATGCTCTTAGCAGCTTAGCCATCTCTCTAGCCCCTTTGTAAAAAAAAAATTGTGCGTGTATGTGTGTGTGTGTGTGTGTGTGTGTGTGTGTGTGTTTGTGCCAAAACGCCCAGCTGGTGGTTTTTTAGACTGGGCCTTAGTATCCCACCATGGCCTCCAGCTCACTGGGTAACTGAGGGTGACCTTGAACTTCTTATCTTCCTGATTCCACCTCCCAAGTATGTGCCACATGTTTGCAGGTATTTAGAGTCCAGAAGAGTGTCAGATCCCTTGGAACTGGAATTATAGGCAGTTGTGAGCTGCCCAACATGGGTGCTGGGACTTAACTCAGGTCCTGTGCAAGAGCAGAAGTGCTGAGCCATCTCTTTAGCGCTCTTTAGTGCTCTCCCTTTGTTTTTTTCAGACAGGGTCTCAAGTAGCTCCAGCTAGCCCTAACTAGCTGTGTAATCTTCTCTTGTCTCTTATCTCCCAAGTACCAAGATTATAGGCTTGTGCCCCTGACCCTGTTTGCATTTTTGTGGGTTTTTTTTAAAACTTTTTTTTTTTTGTTATTTTTGTTTTATGTGTATGCGTGTATTGCCTGCATGTAGGTAAGTGCACCCATGTCATGCAATGCCCGATGAGGTCAGAAGAGGCTGTCGGATTCATTGGGACTGGAGTTATGGACAGTTGTTAGCAGCCATATGGGTGCTGGGATTCTAACCCGGGTCTTCTGCAAGAGCAACCGGTGTTCTTAACTGCTGAGCCATAGCTCCAGCCTCTGCCCCCCTTTTTTTTCCCTGTCTTTTTGAGACGGTCTCCCTGTAGCCCCAGCTGTCCTGGAACTCACTATGTAGACCAGGCTGGCCTCAAACTCACAGAGATCGCCTGCCTCTGCCTCCCAAATGCTGGGATTAAAAGTGTGTTTCACCAGGCCCAGCTGGTTGTTTGTTTTTTAGACTGGGCCTTAAGTATCCCACCATGGCCTCCAACTCACTGGGTAACTGAGGGTGACCTTGAACTTCTTATCTTCCTGACCCCACCTCCCAAGTATTGAGGTTTATAGGTATGCTTCATTAAATCTGGCAAAGACATTCTTGTATAGGACCAAAAACTCTGTTTTTCTAGATGAACATAAAATTGAGTTTGAACTTAATCAGGTATAGAGGACAGCAACTGATAGGATAGATTTCTGAAGCAAACTAAAAAGATTTAAAAACCTAGAGGGTTTGGGTTTTGTTTTGTTTTTTTTTGGTCTTTTTGACACCCAGCGTCTCCCTGTAGCTCTGGCTTGGCCTGGAACTCACTATATAGACCAGGCTGGCCTTGAACTCACAGAGATCCACTTGCCTCTGCCTCTGGAGTGCTGGGACTAAAGGTCTGCGTCATCATGCCCAGCTTTGGTTTTTACTCTTACCAAAATGGAATCCTATAATACTTATATAATTACTTCAAGATTTTCTTCTTTCACTTAATAGTGTCTCATGTTCTGAAATTTAGTCCTTGAATATTACAGTCTTTTTCTTTTTTCTTTTCTTTTTTGAGAGGCAGGCTCTCACTATATAGACCAGGCTGGCATTGAACTCAGAGATCTGCCTGTATCTGCCTCCTGAGTGCTGAGATTAAAGGCATGAGCCACCATGCCTGGCACCATGTGTTTTTTTAAAAATATGGTTTATTTGTGCATATATAATTTATATATAAGGGAGATTTTGTTTTAGGTTTTTTTTTTTTGGAGACAGGGTCTCCCTGTAGCCCTAGCTGGCTTGAATACCTATGGAGTCCAGCTGGCCTCGAACTAACAGAGATCTGCCTGCCTCTGCCCCTGGAGTGCTGGGACTAAAGGTGTGTGCCACCACGCCCAGCCTTGTTTTGTTTCTTTGAGGCAAGGTCTCAATCTATAGCCTAGATTGGCCTGGAAACTGAGAAGTAGACCTCCTTCTGCTTCAGTCTCCCAAAGTGCTGAGTTACCAAACCCAACTAAAGGGATTTTTGTTGTTTGGTACTTTTTCTTCCACTATAAGTTATTTGCCTCCCTATTAATTACACACACACACACACACACACACACACACACACACACATATTTGCAAAGTAATAAGGTATTTGCTTTTTGTACTAATTATATTCTTTTCTCTACTTTTTTTGTTTGTTTTTTGAGACAGGATCTCACTATGTAGCCCTGACTGGCCTGGAATTCACAGATCTGCCTGCCTTTGCCTCCTGGGTGTTGGAATTAAAGGTGTGTGCCACCATGCCATCCAGTATACTTTTGAGACTTAAGCATATTGTGGCATCAGTTCTTTTTATTCCTGAATAGTGTCCCATGGTTTGGATCTATCACAGCTTATTTATTTATGACTTGAGGCAAGACAGGTAGCTTTAGACTCTTAAAATCATTTACAGCACCCCGTCTTTTTTTTTTTTAATAATTTATTGAGAATTTCATACATACATATAAGGTGTTTTGATCAAATCCATGACCACTCCCTTCCCTCCAACTCCTCCCATATCTCCCCATCACTTTTTTCTGACAACTTCATGTACTCTTTCTTCTTCTTTTTCTTTTTTTTATGGGACTGTAGCACCAGCTGTCCTGGAACTCACTATGTAGACCAGGCTGGCCTTGAACTCACAGAGATCCGCCTGCCTCTGCCTCCCAGTGCTGGGTGCTGGGATTTGCGCCACCACGCCCTGCATCTTCTTTTTTTTTTATGGGGCTTTTTGCTCCTCTAACATTCCCCTTCCAAAGAGGTAACCCTAAAATCTTTTAAGAATTAGATAAAAGCTCCCAAATATTTTTGACATTTTTGGCCTTTGGAACGGAGTATGTTGCTAAGAAGCACAAGGACATTGTGAGTTTTAGCCAAGAAACTGGCTACTGTTCTTTGGGGTCTTTTTACCCTACCTGCCTAGCCAATTCCTACCTCCTATTCTTATCACACCATCCTCTGAAGAGGTTAATTGCCAGTAGGGAATCGGGATGCAGACTGCTCTGGCTTCTTCCATGCTGAACAAGGAGGTATGGTGAGGAAATTGGGGTACCCCTTCAGTGGGTCCCAAATTGTATAACTCTTACCACATGGAGGTAGGATCTGTGCGCTCAGGCAGTCCCGAGTTCTCAGCTCCTATGCCAGATGGAGGCCAGAACTGGCACTCTCTGGCAGTCGGCTGAGATCATAGATGTTACACCAATGGAGGTTGGTCCGAGGTCTTGCATTTGTCTTTTGACAAATAATAGTAGTAGAGCTGTTTAGTTCTGGGGGCAGAGAGAAACTTAGAGCTCTATTTTTTTCATCGTTTTGTTAGTTTAAAAGCCCAGGCTGGGAAGAATATAGTTTGGAAACCACCAAGCCAAACAACTAAACTATCAAAAAAAAAAAAAAAAACTAAACAGAAAAAGAAAACCTCCAATTTAAAGCATAGAAAGCTCTTTTTATTAAGAAAATGTGCATGAATTGGTAGATATGGTCACATGTACCTTTAATTCCAAGCATTTAAGGGGCAGAGGCAGGAGGATCTCTGTAAAGGCCAGGCAGTCTATGGTAGTGAATTCCAACTGTCCCCCCCAAAACAAAAACAACAAAAAAAGAAAACAAGTTATTTTTATTATTTTTTATATTTTAAAATTACTTCTGTTTATATGTGTGTGAGCATGGGTGTGCCACAGTTTGTGAATGGAGGTCAGAGGATAACTTGTGGGAGTCAGTTCTCTAAGTGGACAGTGGGGATTTACCTCAAGTCATCGGGTTTGGTGGCAGGTGCCTCCTTTACCTGCTGAGCCATCTTGCCAGCCCAGGAACATTTTTCTAAAAACCAGAATATATCCCTGGGCATAATGCCACACACCTTTAAGTCTAGCACTTGAGAGGCAGAGGGAGATGGATCTCTGTGAGTTTGAGGTCACTCTGGTCTATATATCAAGTTCCAGGCCAGCCAGGGCTATAGGGAGATTCTGTCTTTAAAAAAAAAAAAAATCAGCTGGGCGTGGCAGCTGATGCCTTTAATCCCAGCGCTTGAAAGGCAGCAGCAGTCAGATCTCTGTGAGTTGGGAGGCCAACCTGGTCTACATAGTGAGTTCCAGGCCAGCAGGGGCTATAGGGAGACCCTGTCTCAAAAAAAAAAAAAAAAAAAAAATCAAACCAGAATATGTCAAGTAAAGCATTCTCCACCCATGCTGATGCAAACAATTCTAAATTAAATGCAGTTATCTCCCCCAACAGCATGAAAGTGGGAGAGGGACTTTGATAAGAGAGTGGGGGGGGGGCATATGATCAAAGTACAATGTGCATATATGAAATTATGAAAATAAGTGTGAAAAACTGAATATGTGATAGGTTAAATTAATTTCCCCCAAGGAAATATTTGTGTATAGTTTGGCTTTTATGCCAGGACTTTTGGGGGAAAGTTATATTGCCTCTGTATGTGGTATTGGGGAATCATTTTATTTTGTTTTTTTATTTATTTGTTTATTTTTGGTCTTTTTGAGACAGGGTCTCCCTGTAGCCCCAGCTGTCCTGGAACTCACTATGGAGACCAGGCTAGCCTTGAACTCACAGAGATACGCCTGCCCCTGCCTCCCGAGAGCTGGGACTAAAGGCATGAGCCACCATACCCAGCTATTTTGTTTTTTTAAACAGGCAATTATTACAGTTTACGTTCTCAGCATGAGAAAGCAGCCTTATATTTCCAGAGAGCCCTAAAATTGAATCCTCGGTATCTTGGGGCCTGGACACTGATGGGGCATGAGTACATGGAAATGAAGAACACATCTGCTGCTATTCAGGCTTACCGGTGAGCATCTAGGGCTGGGGAGGGGTGAGTGGAGCAGGGAGCCTCTCTTAAGCCTGTACCCTGCTAACCTTGATTCTTCTGCCATCTCTCATCTTTTTCTTCTATTTCTTAGTCATGCCATTGAAGTCAACAAGAGAGACTATAGAGCTTGGTATGGCCTTGGGCAGACCTATGAAATCCTTAAGATGCCATTTTACTGCCTTTACTATTATAGACGGGCCCACCAGCTTCGGTAAGTTGATCACTTGATAGTGTGTTTGGTATGGGAGTGGTCTGATACATACTTCTCTCTCTTTTTCTATCCTTCTCTCTCTGACCTAAGTTTAAACTTGCTAAGCATTGACTTTATTTCCTGTCTTCTAATGGGTTCATAATATCATTATGAATACAAAGTAATACACTTATATGAAGCATTTAATTGAAGACCAGTCTTTGCATAGATTTGCATTAAAATAGTAGTGATGTTACTTTTTCAATAGAAGACTTGAGTTGTTGGTAAAGTCTTTGCTCAGACTGTTACTCTTTTTTTCATAGTCCCAATGATTCACGTATGCTGGTTGCCTTAGGAGAATGTTACGAGAAACTCAATCAACTAGTGGAAGCCAAAAAGGTACCTCAAACTGGGGTTTGGAGAATTTGAACGAAAATCTGCTGTATAGAAGGAAGTTGGGCTATACATGCTGTGATTCCCCTGCCCCCCCCCCCATATTCTGATCTATGCACATGGGAAAGTCTGTTTTGTAGGTGAATAGGCTAAAAAAAAAAATGTGCGCTGAGATATCAGTGTGAATGTCTATATAACCTGGACCTATCACAGTTAATAGAAATATTTTGTATTTTACAGGCCTGAACTTCTAAAAGACCTTCTAGAGTTTTGGCTTTTATGTGATTAGTTGTTTTACATGGGCAGTATTCAAAAGTGACAAGTTTATGTTTTTACAGTGTTATTGGAGAGCATACGCTGTGGGAGATGTGGAGAAAATGGCTCTTGTGAAACTGGCGAAGTGAGTGAAAGGACTAAAATGATATTTCTGTTGTCTTCCCTGAGGTGGGGGCTCATGTATGCTCAGGAATTTTCCATCCTTCCATCATTAGATTGATTTTTGGCATGTAGCAGGATTTAGAAATGCCAGTCTGTCTGGCAATTAAAGCCCTTTCTTTTCCTTCCAGTGTTAGGATGAACCCAGAGCTTTATGCATGCTAGGCAAGTATTCTCCCACTGAGTTTTCTCCCAGCCCTAAGCCTTCAGGACTCTAGAGAGTGCCATTTCACCTTGAAGGGAAAATAGACTTCTATTACATAAGAAATGAGGAATGAATTGAAAAAAACAAATGAATGGTTCAGAATAGTTTACTGTTGGAGGACTTGCCTGCCCTGCATGTGTGAAGGAACTACTCAGAAGTAGCTGCTTATTTGTTTTTTTCAGTCTCACCAATATTACCAGAAAATTTTTGCAAACTTACAGTTATCCAACTTTCTACATTAAGTAACTGCCCCTTTTTTAATTGTTAAATTTTGTGTGGGCATGAGCATGTGGAGGTCAGAGAACAGCTTGTGGGAGTGTGTGGGAGTTAGTTCTCTACTTGTACCATGTGGGTCCTGGGGATTGTTAACTCAGGTGGTCAGGCTTGGTAGCAAGTGACTTTACCTGCTCAACATCTCATTGGCCCTTAAATAACTTCTCTCTCTCTCTCTCTCTCTCTCTCTCTCTCTCTCTCTCTCTCTCTCTCATTAATAAGAATGATTCTGAGCTTTTTTCTGGGGGGAGGAGGGGCAACAGGAGGTGGCACTACAGATCAAATCTAGGGAGACAAGCACTTTGTACTAAGCTACACTCCCACCTCCTGATTCTAAACTTCCTAATAGTAACCATCTGGTGAGCACTGGATACTCTTCTAGGTCCCAATATATTGCTTATGTTAAAATTTGTATTTTGTTCATGTTGTCATTTTTAGTTTATATTGTTTTTACTTTTTAATCCCTAACTTTCTTTGTGGTCTGATTTTTGTTTAAAGCTCAATTTCTTTTGTAGGCTCCATGAACAGCTGACTGAGTCAGAGCAGGCTGCCCAGTGTTACATCAAATATATCCAAGATATCTATTCCTGTGGGGTATGTGTCAGAGCATATCAGAATTGTGTTAATGATATCTTTTTTTTTTTTTTTTTTTTTTTGAGACAGTGTCTCCCTGTAGCCCCAGATGGCCTGGAGCTCTGTGTAGACCAGGCTGGCATTTGCCTTCTAGTGCTGGGACTGAAGGCATGAAGGTATATGCCACCATGCCCCTTGGCTAATGAACTCATTCTTATCTCAGTCATTTCTGTTTTCCCTGTCTAGGAAATAGTGGAACACTTGGAGGAAAGCACTGCTTTCCGCTATCTGGCCCAATACTACTTTAAGTGCAAGCTGTGGGATGAAGCTTCAACTTGTGCTCAGAAGTGTTGTGCTTTCAACGATGTAAGTGTTAGGTCTTAAAGGGTTTGGATTTTAGACTAGAATATATTATCTTTATCCTATGTAGGTGGAAGGTAGATTAGAATGTTAGTGGAAAAACCTACTTTGACCTATGGCAGTCACATATTGTCCTAGTTTGTTTCTCCATTGCTGTGAGAAAACATGGGGAGGAAAGGATTTATTTGGCTTACATCTCCTGGGTCACAGTTCATCAGGGAGCCCAAGGTAGGAACTTGGCAGGAACCTGGGGGCAGGAGCTGGAGCATAGGCCATGGAGGAATGCTGCTTACTGGCTTGCTCCCCTAGCCCCTGCTCAGCCTGCTTTCTTATGCAACACAGGCCCACCTGCCCCGGGGTGGCACCACCCACAGTGGGCTGGGCCCTCCCACATCACTCAACAATCAAGAAGATGCCCCATGGACATGGCCACAGGCCAGTCCAATGAAGGCAATTCCCCAATTGAGGCTCCCTCAACCCAGGTGTGTCAAGTTGATGGTAAAGCTATCCAGCACACACACTGAACAGTCTCTTTTTAAAGGCAAAATGTCTTTATTTGTAAGGAATGTTCTGAACAGTATTTTAATAACTTGTTTTTCAAAATATTCTTTTTTTAAATTTTTATTATTTTTATGTTATGTGTATTGCATGTATTGCCTGCATGTAAGTAAGTGCACCCGTGTTGTACAGTGCCCTCGGAGGTCAGAAGAGGTTGTTGGATCCCCTGGGACTGGAGTTACAGACAGTTGTTAGCTGCCATGTGGGTGCTGGGATTCGAACCCGGGTCTTCTGCAAGAACAACCAGTGTTCTTAACTGCTGAGCCATCTCTCCAGCCCCAATAACTTGTTTTTGAGAATAGCTTTGAACACATTTTGAAACAGCTGTGACTTTGTTTCAGACCCGGGAAGAAGGGAAGGCCCTGCTCCGGCAAATCCTACAGCTTCGGAACCAAGGCGAGACACCCACCACTGAGATGCCTGCTCCCTTTTTCCTTCCCACTTCACTGTCTGCGAACAACACTCCTACACGCAGAGTTTCTCCACTCAACTTGTCTTCAGTCACACCATAGTTGGCTACTCTCAAGTCAGCATGTTGCTAGACCAACATTTAGCCTTACCCCATGCAAAGAACAGCCACATCTGTTCTGGGACCTAAGCTCTTCTCATTTCTACAGATGGAAACAGCTCTGGGTACAGTTCATATAATCACCTTCAGAGGCAGACAGAAATACTGGCAAGGACAGATTCTGTCTTTATTTAGAAGCACTTTTATCTTCCTTCTGTTCAGAGACTGGCAATTCTTAGCCTTCCTAGAAAGTCTCCCCAATGCCTCCTCTCTCCCACACTCCATCCCCAACAAATCCCTTTTACACCACTTCACCACAAATACTACAGAAATGAGGTTTTAATGCTGCTGAGAGTGGGATAGGCAAGGAAGGGAGTAAAGACCTTTTTAAAAAAACTATTATTTGAACACTGGGCATGGTGGCACATGCCTTTAATCCCAGCACTTGGGAGGCAGAGGCAGGCAGATCTCTGTGAGTTCAAGGCCAGGCTGGTCTACATAGTGAGTTCTAGGCCAGCCTCACTACAGGGAGACCCTGTTTCAAAAGACCAATAAAAACAAAACAAAACAACTTTATTATTTGAGACAGGGTCTCTGTGTAGCCTAGTCTGGGATCTTCCTGCATCACCAGGAATCTTTAGTGCTGGGATTATAGGCATATGCCTGGCTAGAAAGGACCTTTTATTTTGCTGAGTGTGTCCTCTATTCTGAATTAAAAGATTAGGTTTAAACAGAGTAGAGCTGTACATGTATTCCTTGGGAGACAGTTTTGGTAAGGAGTCTTCTAAAAGCTTTCATATTGGACTAAAAAAATTTCAGTGAGCATGAACTATGGCTCTTGAGGGCAAAGATGGCTATATAGCATTAGCCTGTACCCTTACCAAAAGCAAAGCAAAGAGACAATATACAGATAACTTCATGGGCATTTGAAAACTTTTTTTTTTTTTTTTTAACTATAGATAATAAACTTCATGCTGGTATCTTTTAGTAAATGCTTGATGTGATTGTTTTTTTCCCCCAAAGAATACTTTTTTTTTCAACTTTATCTAGACAAGGTTAAGGGAATCTTGTGTTCTTGAGGGTTTTAGTCAGTGCATATGTGTTCAGTAGCAGGTAAAACACTTGGACTATGATGTCTGCTAAAACAATTTGTATAGTAGATGCTATGGATCACTCTGAGCTTAGGATCTAGCCTTCCTTCTCTTGTTCCCAGAACATTTTTACTCTTAATGTATGATACTTCATTTTATATTAAAAAGCCTTGAGTATAATCTAATGCCATTTGAATTCATTTCCTATTAAGCCTTAGTCTAGTTCTCGTTGCTGTTCCTACGCAAGGTTCTGATGGGCCAGATGCTGTTTATATCAAATTTTTGCCCTTTTTAAAATAATGTTTTAGATAATTTTTCTAAATCTGAAATCCAAATAAAAGGGTAAATGATATCTTTATTTAATATAATATTTGTGTGCATAAAAACCATAGTGAAAAACATAAGCTTATACAAGTCATTATAATACAACAGAGAAAAACAACTATTATCTACATGTTACATTCTGGATAAAGTTCCAGGTATATGGTAAAGCTTAAAGGAGACCTATTTTATAAGTCGAGCAGTTGACCCACCTCAGGGCAACGGCTATGTATCTTCTTCCCTACAGTTTTAGTATTTTTTGCCAAAAGGTCCAGATTTGAATAAAGGAGAGTGCCGGGAACGCAAGATCCGTGCATAAGGGCTGCAATCTGTTGAGCTTTGGCAGGTTGGTGTCCGGGGAAGTAAATTTCGAAGGAATGGTTTCTTTCCTGGGGGTTGATGATTTGGTTGCTGGTTTTCCTGATTGGTACCCAGGCGCTTTTTGGCAGAAGAAGCCTGGCCTTGGAGCTTCAGCACAGTGTGATACTGCTCAGCAATGCAGGCTGCCTTTTTCCGAAGGTCCAGTTTCACTAACATCATGTTATTCTGGAGCTCAGCCAGGGTCTGGTCCTAAGAATCATCATATCATCATTAAAGTTAGAGAAACAAGAGAAAGGTAATTAATGCATGCCATCCATAACTAGACACCATTTCTTCAAAGATTAAACCTTTGAGACCCCAATGTAAGCAGTGTTGAATAGAAGATCTAACATACAAGGTAATGCTTATTTCATTTCCAGTCAGTCCCTAGGTATCAAACACATTTTGTCTAAAGCACACTTTTATTTTCTTTTTGATCTTTTTTCTTATTTATTTTTGTCTTTTTGAAGCAGGGTCTCCCTGTAGCCCCAGGTGGCCTGGAACTCACTATGTAGACCAGGTTGGCCTTGAACTTAGAGAGATCCGCCTGCCTCTGCCTCCCAAGTGCTGGGACTACAGGCATGTGCCACCTTTGCAGAAGGGTCTCCCTATAGCTCCAGCTGGCTTTGCACTCACTACATAGATCAGGCTAGCCAGATCTCACTGAGATCTGTCTGCCTCTACCTCCTAAGTGCTGGGACTAAAGCACTTTATTTGTTATTTAATATTTTAAGTTCTTTGGAATTAAGATACAACTTATTGATGAGAAATGTCATTGCTTAGTGGTAGAAACTGTTCTGTCCTTACTGGTACATAAAAGAGTATCAATGATATTTTAGATGAACTTCCATGGGTTTAGAACAAAGCATACAACTTCATACTACTTATACTAGGTAATTGTTTGAGCCAGGGTCTCACTATATAGTGCTGGCTGGCCAGGGTGGCTTGGCTAGGATTAAAGGTGTGCACCACTAGGCTTGGCCTTTTATTTTTGCAAGGAAGAGAAACTCTTCTACTTTATGTTTGGCTTTAAAATCCTTCACTTTTTCTCTTCTGTTTTTTATCCCCTTCTCATATATACAGTGGAGTGGGCTGGAAGGAGAGCAAAAGTCGGGAGAATCTAGGCTACCTTTACCTGTTTGTTTAAGATGTCATCGCAATTGGTCAAAGCTTGGCGAAGTTTTCCTGCCCCAGTGCTGTGGCAACAGGCCCTTTCTGCTGACTGGAGAGATTGCCCTAGTTTCTGAAGCTCTGACCGTAGTAGCCTTACATTCTGAAAAGTGGAGAATCAGATTGTGACCAAATCAGGTTGGATAACCAGTGATTGCTGGTATTAGTACCAAGCCTGACAACCTGAATTTGATCCTTGGTGCCCAAATGGGTAGAAGGAGATTCCTGCAAGTTACCCCTCCCAAATAAATAAATGTAAAGAAAAAGACTGGTTCTCTGAGTGAAATAGCCATTCCCCAGGACTCTGCCCAAAGATATCTAAGTCTCATAAACCTCCGATAAAGAGCTTTGATTAACAGAAAGGAATTTACCTTCTGGCCCTCCTCTAACTTCTTATCCACATCCATAGTGAACGGCTTGGCTGAGGGTGGTGGTTCTAACATTTGCTGATACTTCTGCAGCTCTGAGGGAGGGAAACAAAACTTAAATACATGAGTTTTCCAGCTTTAGGCTTACCTCTTGAGTTTAACAGTAGCTAAAAGTAAATAGACAATCCGGGCGTGGTGGTGCACGCCTTTGATCCTAGCACTTGAGAGGCAGAGCCAGGGGGAATCTCTGTGAGTTTGAAGCCAGCCTGGTCTACATAGCAAGTTCTAGGCCAGCTGGGGCCACAGGGAGAACCTGTCTCAAAAAGAAAAAAAAAAAAAGAAAAAAAATAAAGCAAGGCCTTGTGCACCCCAGAGTGATAGGTCAGGTAGATGTATCAGAGTTGAAAAAATTATGTTAGTGCTGGAATCAGAAGGTCCAGGTTTGACTACCAGCTCTTCCCTGACCCACTGTCATGCTTCCTGCCTTTTCTCCTTCCTCACCTTCATTAGTAGAGTTTAGCTCTGCTTTGAATTGCTCTAATTTAGCATTAACTTCATGGAGCTGCTGAGTGGAGGCAGAGGCTGCCAACCTTTGTGAACGCCGTAGGGACAGTTCAGACCCTGACTGTTGAGCCACTGGCTGCTGTCTGGCTTCCTGCAAGAGAGTTTCTAGCTCTTCGATTTTTTCATCCCGCTCCTAAGAGGGAAGCAGAAAGCAAAATTCTGTCCAGGGTCAGACATACTTAAGGACCAGATTAAATAAACAAACACCTTCTTGCCATTTATGCCTCAAAAGCCTGTTTATTAGCATACTTCTTTTCCCAGCAAACTAAATACCTACAAAACACTAAGGGAAATGGAAAAAAATTAGTCAAATATGTCTGTTCTTGGGTCTGGATAGATGGTTCAGTAGTTAAGAGCACTGACTGCTCTTGCAGAGGACCCGGGTTCAATTCCCAGTACCCACATGGCAGCTAAGAACTGTCCTTAACTCCAGTTCCAGGGGAATCCGATACCCTTTTCTGATCTCTGCGGTACTGCATAACATGGGTACACTCACATACATGCAGGCAATATACCTGTACACATAAAATTTAAAAAATAAATTTTACATTTATCTGCTCTTTCTTGCCAGGGCATAAAGAATTTTTTTTTTAACCTCAGAAATGTAGTGAGGAAAATCTGAGCAGCTAGTTGGGATTGGTTTGAAACTCACCTGAATCTCTTCTTGGTAAAAACTTGTCAGTGACTCCTTGAGGATCTTCAGTTTCTCCTCATACATTTCCTCCAGTAGTTCCTTTTGTGTGTCCAAATGCTCACTGTCAGAAACAGAAAAAAATGCAGTGAGGATTCTGAGGGGAGACAGACCCTGAGGTACAATTCCACCCCCAGTCTCTACTTCCCACCCATCTGCCCCAGGTGACAGAGTAGGAGGGGTCATGCAGCCAGTACCTGCACCACTGTTCCCGTTGCTGCATCTGTTCTACCATCTCATTGCAAATTTCATCACGGAGCTGCATTTCCAGCTGCAGCTTTTCCTGTCGTTCTTTTAAAAGCAGTGTCTTCATGGCCTCCACCACCTGTAAGAGCTCCTAGGAAGAACATGTCTGTCAGGCATCATAAGATTCCCTTGCAGCAAAAAGGCCCAACCTGCCTGGAAGACACTGGAAAATGTGTAGTCGTTAAACTGCTACAAAAGCTTTTGTATTCTCACCTCCTTGCCATACATGGAGATGTCAGCCTCATTTTCAGTGTGGTCGTCAAGGCCTGGGTCTGCCTTACCCTCTTTCTCTAAGCCAGGGGATGCCTGAATACTTTGTTCCTTGATGAATGAATGCAGGGATGGGAGTCCCAGATGCACAGGTGGGGCATGTATAAGCTAGAGGATGAAAAAAACTTTTAAATGATTCCTCAACTAGTTCCTAATATCAATCTTAAGGTTAGTAGCCCAAAATAGGTACAGACATCACATCTATAGCTTGTTACCTGGCTGGCAATGGCTGAGAACTTGGCCACATGAAGAGTCTCATCATAGGTAGATGCACAGGGATTCACATTGACAATCATACAGGAACGGCCTCGACCTGTGAAGAAGCCTTGAAACACACGAGTCAACTTGCTGTCACGGAAAGGAATCAGGTTCTGCTTTGACCTGGCATAGGAAATCAGAGAAGTAACAGTTGTGAGCAGAACTGCAGCCCTTGGGGTCTCCCACCCTATCTATCTTCGGTGGTGACCAGGAAGTCAGCAAACTGCAAACCCCAGACCATTCCAGCTTATGATCAAAAGCTTACCGGTTCTGTTGGTTTTGTCGTAGGGCAGCAATACATCGGCCCAGGGTGTGCAGAGACGTGTTAATGTTTCCTGCTTCCTTCAGCCGTTCCCCACTTCTTTGATCTTTGCAGCGCTCAGACCCAGCAAGGTCACAGAGTGACAGTCTGGAATGATGCACAGGATTTGATGTAAGGAATATAAGCTCTAGCCCATCATATAATTCTGGTGAGGGAAGGGCTTACCAAGAATTTTTGTACCCAAGGAAGAGGATCAAATAATTCCTGAGAAGTTTCCCTCTGCTCCCACAAATCGGTGGCCAAGAATATCCAATTTCTAAGTGGGAAAACTTACTCGCTGATCTTAGGCACTATATCCCCTTCCCCCTGAAGGTGCAAGATTCTGATTGAGAAGATGCTGTGACTGAAAGGAAAAGAGAAAAGTCTTATATGTCTTCCATCATCAGGTGGAGGACTACAGTTTCCTAGACACAGTTAATGAAGAGTTTATTCTCACAACTCACCTGCGACTAGAGTTCTGGTTCAGGTGGGTGCTAGCAAAGCTCTGGTTCTTACGACCCACTTTCAAGAGTTTCCAGGCTTCCTCAACATTTTGAACATGAATCCAATTGAGATCTGGGGCCAAAATCAAGAAAGGTATAAGATGGGAACCCACATCCCCTTTTCTAAGTTTTCTAAAGGTCTCCCCCAGGTTTCTTGCCAACCCCCTTTACCTTTCCATACCTTTCACATAAGGATTGCCGTTCTGATCCTCACAAAGCCGGAGCGTTTGTCTCTTACGCTGCTGGCTAGGTGGTTCTAACAGGTCATAAAGCAATTCATTGTAGATCTCAAAGAATGAGATCCAAATGGAGAAGCGGACTTCTGCAGGAACACTTACTGGGACAGTGTCTGGCTGTGCCCATGGGTGACTTGTTTCTATGGAAGAAACCAACATATAGGCTATTAATCCTGAAACATTCCATCTTGGTTTTGGTCTGTTAGAAGCTTTGGAAGATGTTGCAATCTCTAATCTATATCCCTCAAAACCATTTGGAACAGAGAATGGGTTCCTAACATTGCTTGGAACAGAGCCCATTCATGGTACATACATACCATCCAGCTGGCTACTGCTGGTAAATTGACTGGTAGAAGAGAGCCCAGCAATGCCACTGTCAAAACTGGTGCTGGTACCCATCCGACTTTCAATGTAGACATTTCTCTTCAAAGAGGTGGATAGCTCCTCCTGGAGGGGCAAAGAGAAGATAAGCACGAACTTTTCCTGAGATTGGTACCCTTTGTCCCTACCTTCATGAATGTCAACACCTTACCTCTTGGAGGCCTCCATTTAGCAAGGCCAGCTTCTTCATTTCCTCCTGTCGAATCTGCTTGCTGTCTAACCAGATTACCTCATTGGAGAGCAAGGGCTTCAGATCAGGTGTTGGATGAAGCTGGCCTTGAAGACTATTAAAGATAAGAGCCAGGGACCGGGGCAGGATCCCCCCATCCTTAATGGTACCTGGAGATATACAGAAGACAGACAGTGAGACAATGTTTTTCTTTCCTGATGCAGGGCATCAAAAGGTAAATGCCACCATTATATGCTAATCAGTAATCTTACTGAAGTCTTGCTACTCACCTTGAATTGTGTGAGTTTTCCCTGAGTTGGTGACTCCATATGTATAGATGAGCCAGTTCTGTCCTTTAACTACATCCTTTACCATCTCCTTCACAGTTAGATTGAAGAAGGATGCCTGTCCCACTTCTGGTCCAAATATCTAAAGACAAACCCAGTTTCTCAGAAGCCATGCCTCATCTGCCACTTGCCTCCTATTCAGGGCCAGCAGATGTATTCCTGGGTAGCTGGCTCTGGAGACCACTCAAGCAAGTTTTCCTGCCCAACTCCCAGCCATTCCTAAACAGTGAAGACTCAATTACTCTCTGGTAGTCCATCTTTCATCCAAGTTAAATACTTAAGAACTGATACTTACTATGTCTAATGTTATGTACACAATGGGGCAGTATAATGGTTATAAGCAGGTGTTTTGGAGATGGGCAGATCCAGATCCTAGCCTATCTTTATCACTATCTCCATGGTTTCTGCAAAATTATCTTCATTGAGGTAATTACCACAGTGTCCTTGTCAAGGAAACTAGGGATACTAATGAAAATATTAGTGGAAATTAATGTATATAAAGTACTTCACACACACACACACACACACACACAAAGTACTTGATACATTGACTAGCATATAAAAGTCCTGCTGGGCATGGTGGTGCACGCCTTTAATCTCAGCACTCAGGAGGCAGAGGCAGGTGGATCTCTGTGAGTTCAAGGCCAGCCTGGTCTACATAGTGAGTTCCAGGACAGCTGGAGCTACAGGGAGACACTGTCTCAAAAAGACCAAAAAAAAAAAAGTCCCAAAATTATGGATGTACACTTATAAAGAACTCACAATCATGCAGAAAAGTCTTCTGAAGAGGAAATAAAACTGCCCCTAAGTTTGGGTTCTTATTCATACAATAGTACTTCCATACCTGGGAAAAGGTGAATTTATGGGTGGCTTGACCAATACCCCGCTCATTGCTCTTCAAGGCAAAGGAGTCTTTGGGTGCTTGTAGAATCAGGGTTTCTGCATTCTCAATATGGACACAGCCCTGAGAAGGGAGAAAGTAGACCAGCATAGTTAAAGGAGTATTCCCAGGAAACTACCTCCTCTTCTTCAGTATGGCATCATGACACCTCACCTGATTTTCCTGTCGTTCCAATTCAGAAGTTAACAGAGGTCTGATGCGAAGATAAACTTTCACCTTCTCTGCAGTGTCCTCAAATGGAGCCTGTGACAAATTCCAGCCAGGAACCACAGATAAATCTCAGGAGTTACCTCTAAGCAAATGGGCAACAGCACAGTTCCTATGAATCATGCTATTATTTCCCCATTTCACTTTAAGTCTCTCAATGCAGCTATTCTTTGGTTCCACAGTCACGCTACCTCGCATAACTTTTGTTCAAAATGTTTTATCATATTTATGTCTATGTGTGTATTGCCTGCATGCATGTAAGTGTGCCTGTATAATGCAATGCCCACGGAGGTCAGAGGAGAGCATCAGATTCCCCTGGAACTGGAGTTAAGCATGGTTGTTAGTTGCCATGTGGGTGCTGGGACTCAAACCCAGGTCTTCTGCAATAGCAGTCAGTGCTCTTAAATGCTAAGCTGTCTCTCCAGGCCCTTGCATGAACTTTGTTACCCTTTCCTGTCTCATTACTACCCTCCAAAGGTGGCTTGCCACACCACTTATCTGAGTTAGAATTGATTGATCTGTTTGAAAAGCAGCATGTACCAAGCACGGTGGTGCATGCCTGTAATCCCACTCAGTAAGCAGAGGCAGAGAAATCAGAAATTCAAAGCCAGCCTTGGCTACATGAGCCTCTATCTCTAAAATAAATAATTTAAAAAAATGTTATATGCATATATGCACGTGTCTGCCTCATGTATGAGGACACTGGCATAGGCCAGAAGCGGGTGTTGGATCCTCTGGAGGTGGAGTTTCAAGCAGTTGTGAGCTGCAGGACATGGGTGCTGGGAACTGAACTTGGGTCCTCTGGAAGAGCAGGAAGAGCTCTTAATTGCTGAGCCATATCTCCAGCCCCAGTAAATTTTAAAAAAATTATTTTTTAAATTAGCATGTGACACTACAGTAAAGCACAATAGTTGAGTATTTTTAGAATTGGGCTGGTAAGATGGCTCAGAGGGGAAGTCACTTTCTGAGCAAGACTTCAAGCCTGGGTTCAATCACAGGACTCCACATAAAGGTCGAAGGAGAGAACCAAGTTGTCCTCTGACATCTACAAATGAGTTGTGGCATTTGTGTGCACCCATTGTACATACATAATACAGTAAGTAAAAAAATGCCTGAATTTGAGTACCAATTTCATCATTTAGTAACTAAGAGACCTTGAATAAGCTCTTTAAGTTATCTAAGTGTGTCAGCTGAAGAATGAAGTTAATAATAGCATCCACTCCATTCATTCACAGATATTTAGAGAATGCCTTCTATGGCATAGGAACTCTAGTAATACAGTGATGGACATTATCAAGGATTCTGCTCTCAAAAAGTTTTATAAGTTTCTAAGAGAAACTCTGTAAGAGAAGAAGATGTCACAACAAAGACATGGCATTTATCTTCTGGTCTATTTTCAGTGGCTCTCAACCAAAGCCATCCCTCCACTCCCAAGAACCCTGAATTCTAACAAGTGGGAAGGTATTGTTAGTGACATCTAGTGGGTAGAGGCTAGGTAGGAATGCTACTAAAACAACTTGCAAAGTACAGGGCAGTTCCCACCAACAAAGAATTTGGCTGCAAACATCACTAATGCTATAGCTGAGAAACCATGGCCTTAAGAGAAAGAAAGGCTAAAGAAATGGAGGTTATGACTATTGTTATTAAAATATGAATTCCATTCTACCCACTTAATACCAGCATGGCTCTGTGCAAATAACTGTATGTGGTGCTGGGATTTTAACTTAGGACCTCACACAAGCAACATGCAAGCTACACCGTTCTTCCCTGTACCTATTCTTTAACAAATAGCCTCCATAGTAGGTAGATAAAATTATTTTTCCTTTAGAGATTAACTGAGAGCATGCACTTGGGGCTATTTCATGAATGCAATGCCAATAATATTCTTATGGGTTCACTCTATATTTTTCACTTGTTATGCCTTTAATGTTTAATTGCTATTTCAGACCTTCACTCACACAACCGTGCATAGATAACTATTAAAGCTGTGGATATCGCCTTCTGCTCCTAAGCCAACTCCCCAACCCCAACTCCTTTACCTGATGTTTGTCCTCCAGAGAAGTGGAGATGACAGAGCAGTCTGACAACAGGTCCTTTCGTATTACAGACTTCAAATCTGCAGCTGTGGATTCAAACATGGGGGAGACGACAACATCCTCATCGGACAGTAAGCCGGCTGGCGGAGAAAGGATCCCGTGAGACATGACAAGCAGGGTCAGCCTAGACTAAGAAAAGAAACAAGAGTAGGTAGACAGATAAAGATAATGGACGGAAGGAACTACAAATTGCAGGTTAGAAACAATGCTTTAGGACGCTCGGTCCGCTGCCTGGATTTAACTCCTTATGTACCCCCAATTCTCAGCAAGGGAGAAAAGAAAGGAATGAACGAATAATCCAATCTGAGGCCGCATTTCAGGAAGTGAACAGGAATCAAACGATATCCAGCTCTTAGAGCACAAGGCCACGCTCCTCACGCCCATCAGTGCCTAGGAGGTGGTTTCAGGATCCCTAGGGTCCTCCAGCCTCCAAAGACCACCGAGAGAACGCAGGAGTTACGAAGACAAGGCTGTAGTTCTGCTTCCTCAAAGACTATGTCCCCACGCAGGCAAGAGCTGATAACCTGGGCTCCAGTCCAGCCGCATACCCACCTGAAGACGAGACGCCCAACTGCTTCTCCGGTACCAACTCCCAGCCCACGACCAAACCCCAACTTTCGAAAGTGAAGAGCAAAACCCCGCCCACAAAGTGCAGCTTTGTTCCTCATATAATATTTTAAATTGCGCGCTGAGTTCGTCCAGCCAATCAGGAAGCGAAGTCTGTGACAACCAATCAGCGTAAGGGAAGGGGCGGGGCAGACTGGGAGACCGTTTGCTCCCTTTGCGTTTCACCCCAAACGTGAGTCCGGGTTTCCAACTGACAAGATTTCCTAGTTGTTCGGTCTGGGATTCGTCTCACTTAACTCCTTATCTTAAACCCTAGACTTTTCTGTCCTAAAAAGGAAATCCTGAGGCTTCAGCTGCCATCCTTTGTCCCCTTACCTAGAAATTCTTTCCAGGCGCACACAAGATACGTGTTAAGAGGCTTCGCTTCCATTTGGGCAAGTCGCCTCCCATTTCCCAGGAGGCACCGCGAGCAAACTCCCGTTATAGTATTTCCCAGAGTTCCCGGCGTCTTCCTCTGGTGTTGAAGACTTCGGAGCTAAAATGGCGGCCGGGACGGGCAGTGAGTATCGGAGCTGCGTTTGCGTGGAAGGCCTTTGTCAGCTCAGGCACACATTTTTATCACGCACGAAAGGTGTGGGGAAAGAGGTTTTCCAGAGAGCGCAGAGTGTTGAGAGACTCGCCTTAGCGCCATGAGGGCCAGCGTCTGGGTTCGATACGCCAGCCTGGAGTCTTGAGGGAACGGGGGAGTGAGGAAGCGGCGCGCGAAGCTTTTTATGTTAGGAGCTCTGCGAGTGGAAGATAAAGCCACTGAAAACCCGGCGTGCAGACGAAGGCGTGTGATCCACATGGGCTGGCCAGCAGTTCAGTCATTCTAGTTCTAACCAGTCTGTGAGGCAGTCGAAAAGGGGGTCTTTTAACCGAGCTTTTTTCAACCAGCCACTTGGGAAATTGCGTTTCGTACCTTTCAGCCATTTTTCTGTTCCAGGAACGGATGGTGTCTTAACAGCTGACAGTTGCGGGGGAGGGGCTGAGATGTAAACAACTTTATGCTAAAAGGGAGGTGGGCCGTAAAAAGTAGTGGCCGCTTGGAATCTTGGGAAATAAGCTTATGTTCAAACTGAAATAAAGTTACAAAACTGGGCCTTTAAGGAGAACTTTAAAAATTCTGATATCCTCATTGTTTTTTTGGAGGGTTGCGGGAAGCAGACTTTAACTCTGGCATTTGGACAAGTAAAATGTTCTAATAGATTCATATGCAGAGAACAGTTATCCTGGTATATTTCACTGGAAATGGTGAAAAAAATCAAGATTTGGTGAAAACAGCTGGGAGTGATGATACACACTTGCCATTAATCCCAGCACTCAGGAGGCAGAAGTCGGCAGATCTCTGAGATTGAGGTTAGCCTTGTTACATAGCCCGAGTGCCAGGCCAGCTGGGACTGTGGGGAGGTCTCAAAAAAGAAAATCAGTGAAAATAAGTAAATAAACATTAAAAATTAGTGGGTGTAGTTCAAATTGCCCCAACACGTTGGAGTATTTATTTATTGAGTCTGGATCTCACTATGTAATCCTGGCTGACCTGGAACTCAAGGTGTAGACCTGGCTGACTTTGCATTCAGATCCGCCTACCTCTCTGTCTCCAGAGTGTTGGGGTTAAAGGTGTGAGCTACCATGCCCAGCCTGGGGTATTATTTTATATTAGGCTTTTAGTTGTTCCTTTCAGGCTTAAAACTACTAGTTCAGAGGTGGTTTCTAAGCTTCCTTTCTTTTCAGAACACAAGTTGTTGAGTACTGGTCCCACAGAACCATGGTCCATCCGAGAGAAGTTGTGTTTAGCATCGTCTGTCATGCGGAGTGGTGATCAAAACTGGTAAGGAATCTAGGATGTCTGTTTTCTTGGGCCTTAGGATTTAGTATTTTTACTTTGGTGAATTCCTATAAATCATACTGGTTTTTTGGGGGGCGGGGGTGGGGAACAGGTTTTTGAGACAAGGTTTCCCTGTAGCCCCAGCTGACGTGGAACTCACAGAGATCTGTCTGCCTCTGCCTTCCAAGTGCTGGGACTAAAGGTGTGTGCCACCATGCCTGGCATCATACTAAGTTTTAAGTAGTAAACAACTTTACCAAATACAAATCACATACCATAAAATGAACCCAATAAAAGCATACAATTTGATAGTTTTTCAGCATATTTATAGAGCTATTTAACCATTCCTGCAATCTTTTTGTTACGGTTTTGAGACTCATTATATAGCACCAGTCTACTTTCTTCTGGAACTGGCTTCTTAATCATTTAACATAGCATCTGTGAGGTTTATTCCTGTGTAGCATATATTAATATTTTATTCCTCATATTGGCCAACTAATAGTATGAGTCCATCCATAACTGTGGAGAATTAGTTCCAGAACTCTCAAGGATATAAAAACAGTGATAACTCAAGTTCCTTATATAAGATGGTTTCATATTTACATAATTGCATGTAACCTACACATAGATTATATCTAATACAATGAAATACCACGTGAATGGTTGTTAAAGTTTATTGTTCATTGAATAATAAGTTTGTATATGTTTGGTACAAACAGTTTTTAAACCCTTTTTAAAAGTTTTATTAATTTTATGTATATGAGTATTTTGCCTGCATGTATGTAAGTGCACCTGTGTCATGCAGTGCCTGTGGAGGTTAGAAGAGGGCATCGGATCCCCTGAACTAGAGTTATGATTGGTTGTTAGCCCCAATGTGGGTATTGGAAACTGAACTTGGGTTCGCTACAAGAGCTGCCAGTGTACTTAATTGCTGAACCATATCTCCAGTCCCATAAACACAATTTTTTTGGGCCATAACTACAATACCCATTCTAGGTTGAGTGAATCCAAGAGTGCACAGCCCCTGGATATAGTCTACTATATTCATTACTTGATAGACATTTGAACTGTTTCCACCTTGGGGGAAATATGAATAATGCTGCTATGAATATTTGTAAATTTGGGGGGATTTATTTTTATTTTCTGTGTATGAGTGTATTGCCTGCATATGTATAAGTGCACCTGTGTCATGCAATGCCCGCTGAGGACAGAAGAGGGTGTCAGAGCCGCTGGAACTGGAGTTAGGGACAGTTGTTAGCCACCATGTGGATGCTGGGATTTGAACCCAGGTCTTCTGCAAGAGCCAGTGCTCTTAACCACTGAGCCGTCTCTCTAGCCCCTGCTATGAGTATTTGTGTATAAGATCTTTTTCTTCAATTCTCTTGAGTTTTTCACCTAGTTAGCAGAATTCTGTGTCATATGATAACTCTTTTTTGAGGAACTGCCAGACTGTTTTAATTTTTTTATTATTTTTTAAATTATGTGTATATGTGTATCATTACTGTTTCAGCCTTCCCTCCTAGAATTATAGATGTGAGCCACCACATTTAATTTCTCATTGTGGTTTTGATTTGCCTTTCTCTGATGACAGATACAATATATTTTCATGTAGTTATTAAAGACATTGTCCATCTTTTGAGAAATAAGTCTTTAATTTTCTGTCCATTTAAAAATTTTATACATGAGTATAAATTTTGTGAATTTGTGTGTGAATTATGCACATACAGGAACTGGAGTTGCAGGTGGTTGTGAGCTGCTTGATGTGGGTGCTGGGAACTGAAACCAGGTCCTCTGCAAAAGCATAGTGCTCTAACCCTTTTTGTCCTGTTTAATTTTTTTGTTGTTGTTATTACATTGTAATTCTTTGTTAATTCTGGATGTTGAGCCTTTGTCAGACAATTTGCAACTATTTCTCTTGTGTAATGTATACTTTCTTAGTTTTAAATTTTAATGACACCAGTTTATTTTTTCTTTTGTTGCTATGTAATCAGCTAGGAAAATACTTATTTTCCCTTTTTGTTTGTTGGGTTTTAGTGTTTTGTTTTGTCTTAATTTATATAATATGTGTGCATGTGTGAACTTGACCATAATGTGGAGACAAGACTGAGGAAGTCAGAGGATATCTTTGTGGAGTCACTTATCTCCTTTAGTAGGTTCGAGGGATCAGGCCCAGGTGGTCAGGCTTTTAACAGCAAGCATTTTTGTACAATAAACTGTCTTGCTGATCTTGGTTTTTGTTTTGCAGGGTTTTTTTTTTGTTTGTTTGATTGCTTGTTTGTTTTGTCTTGATTATTTTTATTTTAAATAATCAATTATTCTTATTTTAAATAATTTATTTTATTTTAAATTGTGTGTGTTTCTGCATCTGTGTGTGGATATGTGCACTTGAGTGCAGATGCCCATGGAGGCCAGAGACATTAGATCTCCATGGAGCTGGAGTTAAGGCAGTTGTGTACCACCCAACATGGGTACTAGGAACTGAACTCTTGGTCCTCTGCAAGAGCAATACTGTGCTTTTAACAGCTGAGACATCTCTCTTGCCTATTAGGTTTTTTGCTGTCCTGGAACTCACTGTGTGGACCAGGCTGGCCTTGAACTCAACAAAGATCTGCCTGCCTCTGCCTCCAAAGTGCTGGGATTAAAGGCGTGTGCCACCACACCAGGCTTTTATTATTTTTATATGTATGCATGTATTGCCTGCATGTGGGTAAGTGCAACCATGTCGTGCAGTGCCCAGGGAAGTCAGAAGAAGCTGTTGGTTCATTTGGAACTGCAGTTACGGACAGTTGGTAGCTGCCATGTGGGTGCTGGGATTCGAACCCAGGTCTTCTGCAAGAACAGTCAGTGCTCTTAACCGCTGAACCATCTCTTCAGCCCCAAACCTCTTTGGTTTTTGAGACAGAGATTCACTCTGTAGCCCTGGTTGGCCTGGAATGTAAACACCAGGCTGGCCACAAACTTGTATAGTCATCCTACCTCTATCTCCCAAGACCTAGGATTATATGCATGCACCACTATGCCTGGCATTATTTCTGCTTTTTAAAAAAAATTTTAATTTTACGTGCATGAATATTTTGCCTGATTGTATGTAAGTGCACCCATACATGGGGAGGCCAGAAGAGGGCATTGGATTCCCTGAAACTGGAGTTACAGATGATTGTTAGCCACCACCACCAAGTGGGGGTTCTGGAAACTAAACCCAGGACCTCTGAAAGAGCTTTTTATTGGAGACAGTTTTTTGTAGCACAGGATAGCCTTGAACTTCAGGTCTTTCTACCACTCTCAGCTCTTAATGTATAAATATGTAGCTAGTGTGTGCACCTATAATTCCTATAATCCCAGCACTAGGGAGGGAGAGGGAGGAAATTAGGGATTCAAGGATCCCTTCTTTATGAGACTTTTTCTAAAAAAGAAAAACAAAAAAAAAAACCAGACTGGAGTTGTAGCTCAATAGGTAGAGTGCTTGCTTAGCATGCACAAGGCCCTGGGTTTGATCCCCAGCACTGGATAAACTGGATGTGGAAGTGTGTGCCTGTAATCCCATCATGTGGGAGATAGACATAGGAGAATTAGGTCATCCTTAGCTATATAGTAAGTTTGAGGCCAGCCTGGGATACTAGAAACTCTGACTTAAACAGCTACAA